CGTACTACGTACACACACACACACACACACACACACACACACACACACACACACACACACACACACACACACACACACACACACACACACACACACACACACACACACACACACACCTTCCAGTCAAATACTTGTTCTTCCTGTAACCCAGGAGCATTTTCAGTGGCAGATCTTCAGATATACACATTCTTTAGTCAGACATTGCACCCAAGTGAGGACATTCAGCCAACAATACCTCTTTGCCTGGAGAACCAACGTGTGCTCCTCCTGCAGCCTCTGGAGCGCCTTCCAGCTGCTGTGCCGTCCTGCCAGGCTACTGGGGCTCCGACTGGACTGATACCAATTTATAGGGATGCCTCTGTTATGTAGCTGATAGAAAGTAAAACTGGAACAAAGTGTTTATGGAAAGACAGAGATAAAATCAATTATTTCAGTTTCATTATTGGTCTATGTAACTTGTGTGGGGTGGCGGGGTGGAGTTGGAACCTGATTAGCAAGCGACCTCTGTCTGGAACTGGGTAACCTGACAGGCTACTGTGTACTTGAAGTGTTTGCTTTCCCCTAATGGCCGCTGGCTGACATAATGGCTACTAGCTGTTAAGGGGGGGGGGAGTCACTAGTAACTTTTACAGTCCCCCCTTTGAGCCTGACAAACCCAAAAATTGTTAGGCCCATTACGCAATTTGCGATTAACCTGGAGGGACAGATACTGGGTTTTTTTTATGGACAGCACAGCTTCTGATTATAGCATTACACAGGCATTTGGCACATTGTATTATTATTTAAATAACATATAGAAAGAAAAGAGAGAAAAAAATTTATTTAGCAATTGTTTAAAAGTGCCCCGTAAACTATTTATGACCCAAGGTTTGGAAGGAGGTTTTTAAAACTAAAGGTGTGATTAAGAGATACAGCATGGAAAACAACAGCAGCATTTTGTTTATATATAGGTTATTTTGATATTTTGTTTTGCTTACTAATGTAGACTTTTAGTCTACGTTTTATATTATTTACATATTATTTACATAAGGTTGCAACAACTTTTTATACAGTTTTTTCTATTTGCTTTTATAATTTTTTTGATTTGTACTGCTAGTACAATAAATATTTTTAAATTTTTATTTGCATTAAGTTTTGGAATTTAGATTTTATTTTAGATGCTTTAATTTAAGGGGTTTTGATTGGATGTAATGACAATGCATGATGAGCATGGACATGAAAGGTATTACTATTATTACATTTTTAACAACAATAACATAATTTTAAACTAACTAATAGCAACACAAGCAATAACATTTTTATAGCAATAATATGATGGGGGTTTTGTATAGTTTTAGTTATAAAGCACAATATATTATATTTAATACATAAAATAGACATTTTATTAGCTGTATGAAAGGCATACTTTTTAACTTAATATATATATATTGAAGCATGTGAATTTGCCCTTGTATTTTAGAGATTTTTTGAACCTTTGGTAATAGTGAAAGCAAATTTTGAAATTGATTAGGTACTAAATTAGTTTAATTAAAGGGTATTTGGAACCTAAGGGCTACTTGGAAAATTTTATTTGCAAGCTAGTAAATAATATGATTGCCTGCAGTGGTAATGAGATTAAAATGTATGTTTTGCAATGTGGTGGCTTTAGTATACATACAGCTATTATTAGCTTGAAAAAGTAAGTGTTTTGTTAGGGTAGTTTTTTGTTTTTTATTTTTTTAGCAAACGTAATTATGAAGAGTAACAACTTTTTTTGGCTTTAGGTTACGAACACATTGAAGCTGTGGGGGTTCTAAAATGGCCAAAATGTTCATTGACATTTTAATTTTATTCAAATGTCAGGTGTAATTTTAGGAGCACTGACTAAAAATTGATTGGGCATACCAGGTAGTTTAATTTTGCAGATGTTTTGGTGAATTACCTAATTTTACATGCATTTTTTTATGGACCCAGCAGGATTCGGTATGTGGGAGCCCACATTTTCCCAACCGGTCCATATGCTTGGAAGGAGCACTGAGAACGTCCGCACTTTTATTTAGAAAGTTTTTAAGTATGTTTTTATGGCCACAGATCAGATGGTATTTCTGATGTGTCTGGAAGGGCAGTGGACCAAGCCTGAACATGCTAGATTCCACTGCAATGCCTTTTCAGCCTTAGTGATATTTAATACTATTTTTGTTAGCAATTTTTGGGTTATTGAACTAAGGGCGGAAATAACATGTAACTTATTAATTTTAGCCTGTACCTGGGTTAGCTGTGCCCCAATTTTTTATTATGTTTTTGGTTTTTAAAAATATTTTAAATTTTTGCTGCATTATTGGCCCCATCCCAAAGGGATCTGGTCAAGTTTTTTTTTTTTTTAGAGGAAATAACTCAAGCTTTTTGTTGTGCTAATTTAATGGCAGCCCCCTGTGAGCAATTTGGGTATGTAGAAGTAATTTGGAAACTGGATAAGGGTAATGAAAATTTAATAGTTTTTAGTGTAGTGTTAATTACAGTTTATTGATATTTTAATACATTTTTTTGGTGTAGTACTATACTATATTTTTAAGCATGGGTTTTACAAGGTTTC